ACATTCTGGAGACTACCACACCGGCCACCAGACACGGCCCTCCTCCCGGATTACCAACCTTAATATTTGCATATGAGATGAGCGTGCCCCAGCACACGCCTCTGTGGCCGGCCGTCTCTGTGTTAACGGACATTTTAGCACATTCAGTGATGATTTTGTTGAGACTATTCTCATGGGTTTTTTAACCGTTCATATTAGTTTTTCAATGTCGATACCAACTAGGTATTTAGACCTCCAGCGGGAGATTGTCTTCCGGGTGCCATGGCGGAACTACAGATACAGGCGAGGAAATAATCGGGTAAAGAAAGGAATTAAAGAGACATATTCGAGGTTGTCATCAACTAGCTATGAGTTTAGCATTGTCGCAAAAAGTCAAACACTGCGGTCGATATTATCAATGAGATAGCAGACAGACGGCCAACAATTATTGAGATACACCTGAGACTCGTTTAAAACTAATAACAAGGACTACCAAAAAAGCGCGAGACTAATTGAGTTATCAAAAAAACATTTCAATACAAAGTTTCCCGGCTGACGAGGTGGCGAAGGCCTGCTACAAAAAAAAACCACTTGTAAGGCCAAACGCCGTCTAGCATTAGGCAGCGTAAACAAACATTTGAAGTGAACGTGTGCGATAAATCAACACGTGACATCGTCTCTGGTGTTTTAATTAGTTGTTGTGTCTCGTATAATCAAGCTGGTATCAGCCAGCCGTTTGTTGTGAAACCATCGATTCGGCCTGTCTAAAGCACGTCCATAAAATCTAGTATAAAATCATGTCGGTAAATGTCCCCTCACAACACATTCAATGACGGGCTTCCATGTCTCCGCAACTCGAGGTAAACCGTCAACTGAAGGGAGCTAACTTTAAAAAAAAACAGTATATCTAGTTGTAATTGGGTGACGGAGTAGGAAAAAACACGAAATCATTATGGAATAATTAAGTTAATGAACTCTGAAAACATGTACTTGTACAGAAAGAACCCCCCCCCCCCCTCAGTACGTGATTTGCTAATGAAGTGTAGATAAAATGTTCATGTAGTTATCACCACCAGCTGTAAACTGTGTCGGCTTTGAGATAAATGTCTCTATAGTTGATGTACGTAACTATAAGATCTCTCATCCTCCACGTTAATGTACTAAAACTGACAATACTAGGGCCACTTACAGGTTAGTAATAAATCATAAGCTCTTTGTACGGCCTATATTATTTGCTTTGATAATGTTTATGAATCATGCACCACTGTTACGATCTATCGTCTACATAACTCATGTACACCTCGATGAAGAAGATAAATCAAGGAAAAAATAAACTTACTGAGTTGGCTAATCCGTCCACGGAACACAACTAGCAGCAAGTGTAGCTCCTAGGCCAGCCAGTGAAACTTATCCTGTAAGAAAAGCCCATGTCTTGTCACGGCAGCATTAACAGCACGCTGCTGCGAGATGATATCCGCCAGGGAGCGATAGTACATGAATGGATGGATTGTATAACAAGCTCGATCTTATGTCAAGTACGGTACAATGACGGACCACTGGTTGCATTTTTGTGGGGTGTGTGTCCCGCTGACTCCAGGTAACAGTGAGGGGCTCGCACGCTATTTCAGGTATGTATGTGCCCACTCGGCTAGGCCAGGTAAAGCGCTTAAGTAAACACCCAACGAAACAGTCCTTTAGGTGCTCCTAGTCCCACAAACAAGCAACGTGTTTAGTCATTTACAGACATTTTCATTTCCCCCAGCCCGTAGCTATTTCTACCTTACTGAGAATCGGCTGGACAATCTGATGTTAAAAATATTGTGAGGGGAGGGGGATGCAGGCCTAAAGCCCAAACTATTTTTTTTAAGTTGGCTGCCGCCACAAAGTCAACAGTCGACTGAAGTATCCCGCCGGCCGACATCCGCACCTTACCCACTCCATTACGGCGGTCTGGGGGAAACAAAGCCATTTGTTACTACAATTATCTGACTAATTATCACACGATGCGCAATCTCCCCGACTAGATCCCGTAGGTAGGGTATTGTTGCAGTTAGTTGCGTACAGAGAGAGATGGGATCTTTGGCTGGCGAGATCAACACGATATAAACACACAGCGAGAAAGTTACGCTACTTAAAATGTATCTCCTCATCTGTGCAGCACGTTTAATGCTAGCTTCAAAAGTCATTCACACAAAGAATGAATACATCTCATTATAAAGGTTTTGTGTTGAATGGACAGGGATTACTAAACACTGGCAAAAAACGGACTTTAAACACAGGTGCAAGATGGACAGTGTGACTAGCCAGTGGTAGACGATGGACAGTGTGATTAGCCAGTGGTAGACGATGGACAGTGTGATTAGCCAGTGGTAGACGATGGACAGTGTGATTAGCCAGTGGTAGATGGACAAGGTAACTAGCCAGTGGTAGACGATGGACAGTGTGACTAGCCAGTGGTAGATGGACAAGGTAACTAGCCAGTGGTAGACGATGGACAGTGTGACTAGCCAGTGGTAGACGATGGACAGTGTGACTAGCCAGTGGTAGACGATGGACAGTGTGATTAGCCAGTGGTAGATGGACAAGGTAACTAGCCAGTGGTAGACGATGGACAGTGTGATTAGCCAGTGGTAGATGGACAAGGTAACTAGCCAGTGGTAGACGATGGACAGTGTGACTAGCCAGTGGTAGACGATGGACAGTGTGACTAGCCAGTGGTAGACGATGGACAGTGTGACTAGCCAGTGGTAGACGATGGACAGTGTGACTAGCCAGTGGTAGACGATGGACAGTGTGACTAGCCAGTGGTAGACGATGGACAGTGTGACTAGCCAGTGGTAGATGGACAGTGTGACTAGCCAGTGGTAGATGGACAGTGTGACTAGCCAGTGGTAGATGGACAGTGTAACTAGCCAGTGGTAGACGATGGACAGTGTGACTAGCCAGTGGTAGATGAACAGTGTAACTAGCCAGTGGTAGATGGACAGTGTAACTAGCCAGTGGTAGATGGACAAGGTAACTAGCCAGTTGTAGATGGACAGTGTGACTAGCCATTGGTAGACGATGGACAGTGTAACTAGCCAGTGGTAGACGATGGACAGTGTGACTAGCCAGTGGTAGATGGACAGTGTAACTAGCCAATGGTAGACGATGGACAGTGTGACTAGCCAGTGTTAGATGGACAGTGTAACTAGCCAATGGTAGACGATGGACAGTGTGACTAGCCAGTGGTAGACGATGGACAGTGTAACTAGCCAGTGGCGTCCAGACGTGACCTTTAACCTTCTGATGGCTAGCCGGGGCCCCTGACAACCGTAACAAAACTGACATTTCCCGTCCAGCTATGACCTATTCAGATACAACAGGAACGTGTTTCTCTTACATTACGGCCTCCCCCTCCCTCACACCTGTCATAATCTCTACTAATTGAAGCCCCGTTTAACCGGTCAACAAGCCTACCTCGTTATACGAATATAATCACCTTGTTAAAAAAACAATGTTCACGCTGGACTGACATTTCCAGGCACGGTACATCACATTATCAGGACAGGAGACATGGCGATGGAGCGACAAGAAATACAAAAAATGAACCTTGAAAATACATCAGTTAGAAATACTGGTCTTGTTTATGCTTTTATTTTTAACATATGTTACCTGTTAGGTGACACTACAGTGTTTTCCTGGTTCCCGGCGTTTTATTTAAAGGTTAAGATACCCTAGGTTGTTTTTTTTATGTAGCCTGGTGTTAACACGTTTTTAAAAAGTTTGCAGGTTTCTTTTGTTTTTCTTTTCGTGTGCTTTTTATCCTCTAACATAGATCAGACTTGTGAGAAGTTTTAAAGAAATTATTATACTATTAACTGTTTCTTTGGAGGATTGCAGACACCCCCCCCCCCCCTCCACAACAATATTTAAAAAAAAAAAAATTTTATACAGAAAATATGCTCTTTAACTGGTGTCAGCCCGCCCTCCCAGAGAAAATACTTGTCTGAAAGAAACATGTATAACTCGTTTAGAGTATGTTTGGTCTTTATTCAACTAAAAGCATCACACAATCCTTACAATGTATGCATATGGATTTTTATAATGGAATTCTTAAAATCATATCTTAAAGGATAAGCCTTGAAATCTGACACCCCATTTCAAGTTACATTAAGAAAAAAAAATGTGTATTTGTCTAAAAGATCTATTCCAGCAAGCACAGCTAAACTTAGCTACTTGTGCTGCAGGATATATTGTTACACAGAAAGAAAGCAACCCACAACTTGCTGTTAGCCTCAATGATTCATTCAAGTAGGCAAGACTTTACTGAACCCTAGTTTTTATATTCCTATTTGCCACAATGATTCATTGGTATAAACATCACGTCATATTTATTTAGAGTAAAAGAAACCAGATACTAAAGTCTAATCCAAACAGCAACTAAATATGACACTTTAGCTCATTTATCATGTGACACAACCCACACCATCACAATACCTCACCTCACAATCACAATACCTCACCTCACAATCACAATACCTCACCTCACCATCACAATACCTCACCTCACCATCATAATACCTCACCTCACCACTGCTATACCTCCTCTCATCTCACCAATACCTCCTCTCTTGGATTTAGAAAGTAGCTTTACCATAGCTGTTTACAATATTCAGCACAGAATAAAATTGGACAAACAAGTCATATAGAAGTTTTCAGCATTTAACTACAAATAGAACAGGATGGGCTAGGCTTGACTGGGAAACTTTTTGGTCCCTTGTAAGAAGAATGAATTTATCTAGTTCTTTTTAACATCTAGTTGTTTATTTTCTAAAAGTTCTATTTAACTGTACATTTACCCTAAGATAATAAAGAAAGTGTAAACAATGCAAAATGTTTGAACCCAACTTCTGAATTATATATTTTATTTGGTGTTCACATTCCTTGCCTCCAACAAAAGCAAACTGCTATTAAGACCACACTGTTTTTGTTACATTTGTGAATCTATTTAAACTGTGAGAGAAGTAGAAGTGCCCTACCTCCAGTATGGTGTGTAGTAACTCCAGAACAGGGTTGAGGAACTCAGTTTTAAACCTGTCCACATCATCGCCGTAGTTGTTGTTGAGGACCTCCCACGCTTGTCTCACCACTGCTGGTGTTGCTCGCCCGTACAGGGCCCCTAACGTTGAAGACAACACCTCGTCAATGTCCTCCACTGTGTTGTCCTGGGGAGAAATCACAACCCATCAAACTTTATTTTCACATATTTTAAATATCTATAAATTTAAAAAAGTTTTTACCATTTTTACAAGGGTACACAGCTTAAATCAATTACAACTTTACACTTGAAAGCATCACTGGCCTTGACATCTGTTTTAATGTTCAGATTTGCACTTTGAAGCTGTGCAGTTTTAAGATCAATACTTGTAGGCCCAACTTTAACATATAACCAAGGTCTTGCTTTGAACTGTATCTCACCAAATGTTCTGTGTCCATTACGCCTACAGCTTATGGTAACATGTGGCTCAAATATCCAGCTACATGGTATTCATTTCTCTGAGCTATTGAGTCACTAGTTTTGTAACAGATGCTAAAAAATTATTAGGTCAACTGTAATTTAAATACCATAGGGGGTGGGAAAACAATGCAGAACAAAAACATCTAATCAAAGTAGGCCTATTACAAGAAAAATTACAATAGTTCTAAATTGACTTAGAGAAAAAAAAATGGTACTTTTCTTTTACACCTGAAATAGAGATGATTCTTGTCCTTAATTATTAATTAGTGTTTTTTTTATCACTAATTTAATGTAAGTTTGTTGTTTTCTTTTTTGTTGGATTAGATTAGACATAAATTGTGTTGATCTCTAGATCTAGCTAGATTCTAGAATTATTATAAATATTTAGATCTAATGTAAATTTTTACTCCCGCAAATACTCAGATAAATATTTAAAATGTTTCATCTAAAATTCTAAATTAGATCTAGATTATACTATAGAATATAGATTCTATAGGCAGTGGCGTAGCGAGGTCGCGTGTCACTCAGTGCGGCACTTAATGGTGTCACCCCCCAGAGGCGTAGCGACCCTTCCCGGGGACAAACTTTCAAGTTTTTGATTTGCACCTTTCTCCTCAAACTTTCAATTTGCACCCCCCTCAAGTTTTCGATTTGCACCCTCCCCCCCCCCTCAAACTTTTGATTTGCACCCCCCCCTCAAGTTTTTCTCTATATATTTTGCTATTTTTTGCCTTAGTGTCACCCCCCTAAATGGTGTCACCCGGTGCGGTCCGCACCCCCGCCCCCCCCCCCCCTCGCTACGCCCCTGTCTATACTCAGAGTCTATAGGCCTATCTAATTTAAATTTAGATTTACAGTTAATTTTGGAGTGTATAAAATAGCCGAATTAAATAGATCTAATACTAATAGAATAGATATCTAGTAGATCTAGATTCTAGATCTAATAATAGTCACATTCTAGATTCTAATTCTAGATCTAGACTAGATAATAGATTAATAGATGATCTATTCTATGCCTCTTAGACTAGAGTCTTAGAGTACTCTTAGACTAGTCTTAGACACTACAGATTTTTTAAAATTTTGTGGTAATAAATCAAAATCTATCTAGATCTAGATTCTAGATCTAGATATCTAGATCTAGATCTAGATCTAGTACAGTACAGTTTATTAGGAAAAAATAACTAGATTCTTTATCTAGATCTAGATATATCTAATAATATAGATCTAGATTCTAGATCTAGATCTACAAACTACAAATACTACAATCACATCCAGAATTCTAGATTAGTTAGAAACTAGCAACTACGCATGAAAACAAGTAGGCTAACAACGTGGAGTAACGGTGGGGTTGTTCGTCTGCTGCTCACCACAATATTATGAATTTAAATACTCATTATATGCAAACAACTTTGCTTTATAAAATAACCCAATGAGTTAACTTTTAACAATGACATAGACTTTGTTTGATCAACGTCAGTCTCTCCGTAAATAATAATCTACCTTTTGCATAGTGAATTCGTATTATTCCAAAGATTTCGTCTGCAAGAAAACAAACCCCAACCACCAACGTGCCGCCATCAACACACATTCATGGAAAAGCCTACGTGAAGGCCATGGGTATTGATTTACAACACCAGTTTTAAAATGGCTTGCTTTTAGAATATTTAATAAAGTGGTGTTTTGATGTATTTAAATGTTAAAACCTATTAGTATTTTTATAATGTTTTATGAATGATGATAACATAGAATCATTTTATACAGCTACCGACCATGCTGACACCCCTTCCAATAATGAATATTAGGAAATACCTTTGTTCGTGTTTCTATTTTTACACACTCACGTGATGAATGTGGGTGATTCTCACTCAGGGGACATAATACTGTAAACAACGTTTATTTATATCTATGAGGATTTGTGACTCCCCTTGTTATAGGGCAATCTGTTTTAATTCTTGCTGAGGGATAATATTTTTTTCCCTTTTCGAATTATTTAATCTGTCATTTAAGTCAAAATAAAGTTACACTGTAATTTAAAATTGAAGCTATAGTTGTAGCTTTTTTTCAGGATTATTTTTTGTATCTAATATTCGTGTTGACTTTTCTATATGGAATTCTATATGGAAGGGTTGTAATATTTTATTGTATGTGTTGTATGTATGATGGGAGATGACCTATTCGCAGGACAAGCAGCAGTGGCGTAACGAGGTCGGGTGTCACCCGGTGCGGCACTTAATTGTGTCACCCCCCCCCCCCCCCCAGAGGCGCAGCGACCCTTCCCGGCGCCTGGGGACAAACTTACAATTTTCTATTTGCACTCCCCCCCCCCCCCTCAAACTTTCGATTTGCACCCCCACCCCATCGAACTCTTGATTTGCTCCCCCTCCCTCAAACTTTCGATTTGCACCCACCCCCTCAAATCAAACTTTCAATTTGTTTTTCCAACCCATTTTGGCGCCCCCCCCCCCTAAGGTCGGCGCCCGGGGACATATGTCCCCCCCCCCCCCGCCCCTCGCTACGCCTCTGCTAGCTGTACAAAAGTTGTACTTTTTTTTTACCTCAGATGTTGACTTCCGGTCCGTGTCAGTTTCCGATGGCGTTAAAACTATGATAGTCTCGTCTGCTTCATTCAGTAACGACAACTCAGGCTGCGAGGACAAATCCGTGACAATGACATCTATACAGGAAGTAGCCATGGAGGGAGGGGGTGCTGGTGGTGGTAGCGGCGGGGCGGTTTTCTTTTGTGGTGACCGGAAGTAGCCAAGCACAGTGTCGGACAGAAGACTGGCCACGTTGCGTACAAGAAGTTCAAACCCCCCAACCGACCCCTGCGTCGCCGTCTGCTCTCCTTGACCTTCATGACCTTCGTCTTCTTCCATCGGCTGGTCTTCTGTGCTGCCGCCCTCGTCGCTGCCTCCACTGCTGGTCATGACAGAGGTCCCACATCTTGTCCAGAGTGGCATCCTCGCTCACATGCGGTCAGTGCACTCGTTCATCAAAGCACACATTCCTTCACACGAAACTCCGATGTTTAGACTGATGATTCTCCTTAACTAAGCACCTGTAGTGGACAAAAGAAAAAACTCTAAATACATCGTGCGTCATGTCAACTGAATACATTATTCATGATACAACGCCGGTCACTATTAATTGAAATACCGCCCTAGCCATCGGCATACTAGTGATAACCAGAAGGTCACGAGTTCGGTTCCTGCGTCCGTCCGTATGACTGACACCCTATCTGAATCATCCTTCCTAGTTTTCTTAAGTGCTTAACTCTATTTGTGAAACGTAAAGCCGGCTGCCATAACGCTGACCACACTATACCTTCATATACAAAGCAACAGAAGAATGATGTCTGTCGTATGACTGAATAGCCAGGTGTAGCAAGGTATGTTAAGGACTAAGGTGCTTACTACTTCCATTTAGGCGTCCAGAATGTCCCAAAACATATAGAGTGTCACTCTCACATACAGCGTTTTATTAAATCTAGTCAAACCGTTAAAAAAATCAGGAATACGATTGTGTATGTGTTGGCTGGTACCAAATTGTTGATTCTTAAGTAAGCATGTTGGCTTGTACTATATTGTTTATTTTTAAGTGAAATGGTAACTTGGGTGCTTATTAAAGGGGCTAAGGTGACTAGGACTAGTTACAGAAACCCAAGGGGTTAATCTAAGATATTGGGGATGAGCAGGCCAGGGGAAATCTAAAATTTAATTAAAGGTTATCGGCTCACTCTGGTCGTTAAGGGCTGCGAGCTCTATGCAGGTGCATGAGTGGCACGTAATGCTGGGAAGACACCCGCGGTGATTTATGTCTAAAGTTGAGTTTGGGCATGCCGCTGGACGTCCCGGTAGAATCATTACTCAGGATCTCTGTTGTGGTCAGTTGTCAGGTGTGAAACGCGGCGGGAGTACCGCGTGGTCGTACGTTAGCTCGAGCGGTGTATGACACGATCGTTAGCCCTGAGACAATGTGAAGATCTATAGCGGTCAATTATCAGGTGTGCAACGCATGGGTGCATAGTGACCGGTGTTATCATGAACGTCGAGAGATGGTACGGAGCCCAACTCGGGTTCTATAGCTCTAGGGAGATGATAAGGGGGGTGAGACTAACCTATATATGAGGAAGGGCGACTATGTTGAGGTCTCTTTTCTCTGACAGACACATAGGCTAGACACCATGGTCTAGGCCTGGGATGGTGGCAGCCTTATGGCTGGCCACTAAGGCTGGCTTATTGGCCCAGCCGATGTTTTGTTGCTGTACATATGTGTTTCGTTCCAGATATTTACATGTGTGACCTGATGTTTATACATGTGGCCAATGTTGTACCAGTGGCCAAACGTTTGCCGTGTAGATATGTTCTTCGTTCCAGTGGCCATTATCTTTGGGGCCCGATGTTTGTACCAGTGGCCAAATGTTTTATTCAGGGGCTGGAAATCTTCCTGCCGCTTGAGTGTCAAGCTAGATTGTTGTGAGTACTGATGAGTATTCATAGAAGGATCCAAACCGTGTTTGCTTAGTGGAATCAGAACTAGTGATGATAACATTTTCCCGTGTGATTCTGGGATTACATAACAGTGCAAGTAGTAAAGTTAGAACTAGAGACGATGACATTTACGTTTTTGATTTTGAGATTACATAGCAGTACAAGTGAAATTAAGACTAGAAAGAATAACTTTGACAAGTGTGATTCTGAGATTACATAAGCAGTGCAAGTATTTAAGTTAGGACTAGAGGATATGACATCAGAGGCGTAGCGACCCTTCCCGGCGCCCGGGGACATACTTTCAATTTGGCGCCCCCCTCGGGAGCAAATTTTCGATTTGCACCCCCCCTCGAACTTTTCATTTGCACCCCCCCCCCCTCAAACTTTCAATTTGGCGCCCCCCCTAAGGTCGGCGCCCGGGGACATATGTCCCCCCCCGCCCCCCCCTCGCTACGCCTCTGTATGACATGTGTGAATTCTGAGTTGTGTAAATGTAGATTTGCTATTCACACTTATATATGTGTTTTCTATGAATTAATGTCAGTTACCACGGTGACTAATTCTGCATTGAAATGTAAGTTTGATTATTTTTGTCTTTTTGACTTGTATTAGAAATTCAAGTGATGTTTTCTTGAATATAAAAGACTGGCCAGGCCTTATTTGTATTGTGTCTTTGCTTTTAACATATAAACCTTTGTGACGTCAAACAAAGATAAATAAATGCATATTATGTGTGTTTACTATGTTTTATTTTTAGTTTAATATTGGTGTTGTATAGATGTAAATTAGTTTCGCTCAGGTCTTATTAGACCCCTTTGTCACCACGCAAAGGTGCACGGATGAGTGAATAAGATCACCTCTTCGGTTTAAAACCCCCTAACATATGTATCACCTGAAGCCAAATGTTGTACACATTAAGAAGTTAACCCTAACACGAATGTAGGGTGGACGTGTTAGGCTCCTCCACACATTCCTGTGGGATTAGACTAAAACAGTTGTAACTGCAACAGTGATGGGGGACAACTTTGACTCATCCCAGGGTGGATCTAGGGGTAACACGGGGCAACACATCCCCCGCCAGTGGCGTAGGCGGGGGGGGGGGTGTTAGGGGGGTCATAACCCCCCCCCCCCCATAGACCTCTCGGTATATATATATAAAAAGTATGAGGGGGGTGCAAATCGAAAGTTTGAGGGAGGGGGGGGGGGTGAAAATCGAGAGTTTAAGGGTGGGGGGTGCAAATCGAAAGTTTGAGGGGGGGTGCAAATCGAAAGTTTGAGGGGGGTGCAAATCGAAAGCTTGAGGGTGGGGGGTGCAAATCGAAAGTTTGTCCCCGGGTAAAAATTGGACCCCCCCCCCTTGAGATGATCCTGGCTACACCACTGTCCCCCGCCCCACCCCACAGCATATACACTGTCACCACTAATCAAGGGCCGATAAATAAATCAAATCCCTTTAATAATAGCTGAAACGTTGTAAAGGCCACTTAGTGTCTAGATTCGGGAGTTATCTAACCTGGGGTTATCAGAGGCGTGTGTACAAAAGGGTGGTGGCTCCTGATAAAAGATCGACAAATTGTTTAGTTCACTAGATAGGGCGGTACTGACTCTGGCATTTGATGCAGTGACCCGCTCATCTTTTGGCTAATAAATCGGTTTTAGATAAATGTTCGTGTCCAAAACAGCAACATTATATGGCACATTATCTATCAGTTACATGAAACATCATATTAGCTACACATTATATGGCCACTATCTATCAAAGTTAAACATCATATTAGCTACACATTATATGGTACACTATCTATCAAAGTTAAACATCATATTAGCTACACATTATATGGTACACTATCTATCAAAGTTAAACATCATATTAGCTACACATTATATGGTACACTATCTATCAAAGTTAAACATCATATTAGCTAGATGTTCTAGTCACAAAAAACTTAGGTCCACCACACACACCGTCAATAGTTAATTTAAACACAATCACATGCAGAACAAGGAAGTCAAAACTTTAAAAAGTATAACAAGACATCAGAAAATAAAGAAAACATTTTTTTTCTTAATAATCTTTATATTTTTCAGTCATATTGAATACCATGAGGGAATATGGGCTGCCCGTATAAAGGGATAGTCCATATTTAACTAATTTAGCAAAGGTGTAATGTCACTCTGTGACCATTCTCCCTTTGTCCTCGCCAAGATTTGCCCCTTGATTTAGGATCCACCCCCTCTGTGAAATCATTTTTAAAGGTAACTCCCCCCCCCCCCCCACCACCATCACACACCTTTTACACATACCCAAGGTAATACCCCCAAACAAGGTAATTACATTATTTATACATTTGTTTATGAATTCTCGCTAACGTATTTTGTATTTCGATTTATTTTCTAATCGTTTTTTTTTCCTTTCCAAAAATAAACACATAGCTTCTAACACACCGAATTAGACGAGAGTTTACACAAACAGTTCATGCGAAAATTTGTTAAGCAGAAGGCAGTTACAAGTCTGCTTGTCTGTCCCCTACATAATTACCTCCCTGTTTTCGCATTAGCCTCCCCTCACTGCAATATTGCCCTTAAGCTCAACCTTCCAACATTAAAAAAAAAACTCGTCTTAACACTGAATTAATCTGTTGATGGAGTGTGTGGGATCCATTAATGTGTTGTTGGGGTGTGTGTGGTTCCATTTATGTGTTGTTTGAGTGTGTGAGGGGTCAATTAATGTGTTGGGGTGTGTGGGGGTCCATTAATGGGTTGTTTGAGTGTGTCTGGGGTCCATTATTGAGTTTGTTTGAGTGTGTGTGGGGTCCATTAATGAGTTGTTGGGGTGTGTGGGGTCAATTAATGTGTTGTTTGAGTGTGTGGGGTAAATTAATGTGTTGTTTGAGTGTGTGTGGGGTCCATTAGTGTGTTGTTGGGGTGTGTGGGGTCCATTAGTTTGTTGTTGGGGTGTGTGTGTGGGGTCAATGAATGTGTTGTTTGAGTGTGTGGGTAAGGTCAGTATGGGGGTGGCCTGGATGCGATTGCAGTAAATCGAAAAGCGACCTATAACCGCATCTACATTTCGTTAAAGGCAAGTATCGCAGTTAATCCTTTAATCCTCTAGAACTTGGTAAATTTATTTACACTGTCAACGGTACAGGTGTGGAGAGGGAAAAAATTGATGTCTTAAACCTACTCTCAGGGAACTGATTCCTTTGATGACATTTTTAAAATGTTCAAAGCTTTGGCCTAGTGCCAACACCACTTGACGAGTCACGTGACCTCAGCAACCCACCTGGACTAACTGTGTTGTTACAGCTACAATGGGGAAACTGGTTAAACATTTGTCATGTTTTGTTGTGCAATATTTGTCATGTTCTGTTGTGCAATGTTTGTCATGTATATGGGGTCATACATCATGTAACAGCACATTACTGAAATGTGTATGAGATCACGTGACGAGATCGTTGTTTCAAAACATGAGAATCTCGTCCTGCCGGTACAACTCATGACAAGGGAGGTAAGTGGGAGATGAGGGGCAGTCACTCTTAGCCCTTAGGTAAAGTCTTTATTTATTTGGGGAAGGGAAGATAATCAACTAGGGTGGAAAGTTCCGCAGTGACGTCACCTGTGTTTACACAACAGTGTGGTCAAGTGAAAGAGTCCAAAGTTCAGATGGTTAAAAGTAAATGAGACTACCTGATTTAGCTAATTCACCAAACAACTCTTTTGTGTACGAAAAAATATATTGAATTGGCATCGTTCCAAAATTATTTAAAATATACCTTAGTTTGTTGTCATCAAATTTCTTTCTAATGTTGGAGATTTTCTTCAACGCAATTAAGTATTACGTGTCAACCTGTCATGCCAGCTTTTCTTTTTGGATTTGCTTCCATAGCCCTTGTCCAACTAACAACACACTACAAAAACAAACTAGATAAATTACGTTGCGGTGTTACCCGGTCCGGTCCGCACTCCCCACCCCCGCCTTGTGACGCCACTACGTCTAACCAAAAGCTAACTAGCATTCGGCTAGGTGTACCAAAAGCTACAAGCGACTGTTGCTGCTTGACGTCAGCACGGAGTGTAAATAACACGTTCGTCAGACTGGAGACTTAAAATAAAGATGGCCGACTAGTGCACACGAGACAACGAGATAACTCGTCACGGTCTGATGGTTAAACAATGGCTAAACTCGCAGCTTCGGATCAACTTTAGCTTCACTCGATTCATGGTGGAGGGTTTAACTTTGCTAGTAGCGTACATCTGATTGGGGGGGGGGGGGGGGGGGACTTTGCTAGTAGCTTATATCCGATGAAGGGTTTAACTTTGCTTGTAGCTTACATCTGATGGGGAGGGTTAACCTTGCTAGTAGCTTAGGGGTCGTCCATAAATGACGTCACACTCGTACGGGGAGTCGGTAATTTTATGACGGTGTGTGTTGAGGGGGAGGGGTGTTTAGATGGTGTGATGTCACACAAAAAGGAAATGTTAGAAAACGAGTTTTAGTCGTTATTTCGCGTTTTAGAAAACGCTTTTAATAAATTGAAATATGAATAGATCAAAATACTCTATGTTGACAGGGTTCTGACAAGATTTTGGAAAAATATTGATGTTTTAATTAAGAAAAATTCAATAGCAATTATGAGGGAGGTTGTAGGCTGAGGTGTGACATCATTTTCGGGGGGGGGGGGTCTGGCTTTTTGTAACGACGTGTGACGGAGGTGAGGGGGGGGGGGGGTAAAAATCGTCAAAAAAAGCGTGACGTCATTTAGGGATGACCCCCTTACATCTGATGGAGGGTTTAACTTCACCCACCTCATCCAACAAAACGAGAGAAACTGCGTCTAGTCTACGTCCGGCCACTATTTCAATCTACGTTTTTTTAGCACGGAGTGTACCCAGCGACACCTAGAGGCAAACAGCCATGTTTGACCCGGGTCTACTGGCTGCTAATTGTTAAGTCAAGATTTAAACGGTGACAATTCTAGTAAGAAACAGTTAAGTGCGATGAGTGGGGGGGGGGGGGGCTCTTCTTTTAGCTAATTAACAAACCTGGTAGTTGTACAAACATGGACAAATTATACCCATGCTCAGCTCAACATCGATAAATAATCACTGACTCTTGCTCTAGGCCTATCCCTATCCCTGTTACGGGCATTAAAACTAAAACAAGATTCGATACTGCCCTACTGTCCTTCCTAAACGACATGCAACGGTAAATGTAAACAAACAAGTTAATTAAAAAAGTCTAGTGACATTTGTGCGCAATTTCCTTATGTTATCTAAAAATAGCTCTGACGTATAATGTTGGGGTGCGTTCAAGCTAGAAGAACAATCGGTTTGTAGGTGTTTATGTAATTTTAAAATTTGTGACCGAACGAGAGAATATTTTTGAAAACTTTCTTCGGCAATATTGTTCTAAATTATGACAGGAATCGATTGGTACATGTTTCAAGTCGCTAAGTGGTCTGGTTGCCGAGATATGGGCCAAAAACTGCTTTTTTTCGAGATTTTTTGGCTTTTCTGGGAAATCCATGAAAGAAACCCGGAATTTTTATGGCCTTGTTCATCCTCGTAACTTGCTTAACATAATTGCTTTTGGAACTAGTCATCGATATTGCTTCGTTGAGGAGGAGATACGACTTAAAGCTGCGGACACACATTCATCCATCCATCCATCCATCCAGAAATGACGGGTTAATAAACGCAATTCTCCAGAATGGAAATTGCGCTAAAAAATATTGCATTTGACAGAAAGTTTCCATTAGTTTCCTCAGTAATACACGGGGTTTAAATTTGGCCCCGAAGCAGCATCCCTTGTTGCTACACACACATTCCCCCCCCCCCCCCCCCCCCACACACACACAGAGTTGGACTGTTGAAAATATTGATTACCAGTTCAGCATGAAAATGCCGTATTACGATTCTTCGTGTGGCCAGCGTGTGTGCTATAGATAGACTTCTGGTGCTAGACAGAGACAGACGGTGCTCAGTCACAGGCGGTGCTATACACACAGAAATCAAATCAACCAGCGGATCTATCAACCAGACCGTGGACACACTACAGGCTTCAAAGCTGAGGCCAATCTGTGTAACCATGGCAACGTCAACATAAATAAAACCGGGGCTTTATATACTAGAGGAGCACCAGCAACACTTTGTTTCACACGCGCCCTTTAATCTAATCTTAATGAATAATTAATCCGATAAGACGCCCTGTGAACTTTGTACTAAGCCCAGCCTAAGATTTGTGTGGCCAGTCAAGGCTTGATGCCTCAACATACACAATAAAACGGTAAGAAAAGTCAAGGCTTGATGCCGCATACAACATACACAATAAAACGGTAAGAAAAGTAAAGGCTGATGCCTCAATACACAAAATAAAAAGGTAAGAAAAATCAAGGCTTGATGCCTCAACACACACAATAAAATGGTAAGAAAAGTAAAAAAAAATTAAAGTAGTGTAGCGGGGAGTGGGTTTTTTGTAAGCATAGGCTATAGAAATATTTCTAGCTAGAAAACACGGTCAGCGCTATCGTAATGATGGTTTATGGAACTTTGTGTCTAGGAATCTCACGGGAGAAACGTCCCTTATTTTATACCGGATGATTAAAGTATCGTAAATTGTTACTTTATCCTCCAGCCTCCTGCCACTAAAATAGTAAGGATAGTGGATTAAAATAACGTGTTCCATTTTTTAAAACCAAAACACGAATGCCTGGTAGGTGTGGTCTGCTACGTAAAATCTTAACAGGTAGCCTACTTGTAGGGTGTATGAAATATTTCTACTACATTAATTAGGCGGAGTAGGTTGTCGAATGAGAAAGTTGTGACGTTGTTGATATAACGAATAGATAAAGAATCAGAAAGATCATTCGGACACACATCAAGTAGAGTAGATACACACCAAGTAGACATGCATCAAGTAGACGTACATCAACAAGTAGAGACAAAAATAGAAACATTATCAAGTAGAGATTATAAACGACACAACAAGTAGGCCAGAAAATAATAACATCTCAGCTGATCAATCTAGGCCTATAGATGTATCGATACCACTAAAAATACGATTATTGAACTATCCTGTATAGGTACCACTAAAACAATGCGATTATTGAACTATCCTGTATACCACCAAAACAATGCGATTATTGAACTATCGATTAGCCTGATTTCAGTTAACCAACTACAGAAGAAAGTATAGATGATCTGTGGGGAGTGTAGATTTCTTGTCTACTGGCACAACTTCAATCGCCCAGACTCCCACCGCTACAGTCACACTGCTGGGCTGATAAACAACAATAGTTGAAATATACGCATGCTAGGCCGATACACAGACAACAATAGTTGAAATAGACGCATTCTAGACTGATACACAGACAACAATAGTTGAAATAGACGCATGCTAGGCTGATACACAGACAATAATAGTTGAAATAGACGCGTTCTAGGCCGATACACAAACAATAGTAGTTGAAATAGACGCATTCCTTTACCTGCATAAGGCGACATGCGTACGTCTGAAGTACAATCCGATACACACGCTGCACGCTATGAATGAAATAGACAGCCCTTGTTGTGATCACCACAAACACATGTGTCGACCTCCCGCACGGCGGGGTCAGGCAGGTTTGGTACCGTGACGACACGACCAGCAGACGTGAGCGCTTTAGCCCCATCTCGTCGCTGGCGGGGCGACACACTGGCACGGTGCTCAGTGAACCGTTCACATTTCAACAGGTGAAGGCGGGTCGGAGGTCGAAGGTTAAGACGACATGGGATGAGACGAGACTGGAGGGGGGGGGGGGGGACAGATTCCTGGTGTATGGTAACAGCCCAGCCAGCAAATGACATCCGTAAGAACACGACTGGGTGTGTAAAATGTTAAGTTTTGTTAGAATAATGGGACTGCCCAACATACGTTACATGTAGTATACATGGGGGTGGAGGACAGCATTACATGATTTAAGACGTTGTATTGACTAGATCAATTTGCTTATTAACCCCTTTATCGTATACAAACACCATATTTTGTTGTAACAATTGCTGATAGAGCTAATACACCTACATTTTGAGTCTACCTGCTTAGTTTAGCATCAAGCTGTTTCGACCTCTTTCAAGTTTGTTATTTTTAAAAACAACACATTTCAATTTAAAAAGTTGAACCCGTACTACACCAATACCAACATGCAAGCAACCTGTCTTTTGTCCAATAAAAAAGATATTCACACATCTACCCCTCCAGACCCCCTCCCCCCCCCCCACACCCACACACCCACATTGCAAATGCTCATCAGACGCCAATGACACATACAAACTCCCATTCTGTAGATGAGCACTAAAGTTATTAGCCTGCTCACTTGGCAGGGTTTCACATCAGATTAGAGTTTAAACCTTTTTTACGCGCATCTATTTTCGTCACGATGCGAAATGTAGGCTAATTGCAAAAAATCCCTTTTTGTTTCAACTCTTCATTTTCCATAAATAACTGCAGATAGGCGAGGGTATACCAGAAGACAGACTAGGGTGTTTACCTGATGGTGTTACCCGTCTATATACCAGAAGATACACTAGGGTGTTTTCCTAATGGTGTTACCCGTCTATATACCAGAAGATAGACTAGGGTGTTTTCCTAATGGTGTTAGCCGTCTATATACCAGAAGATAGACTAGGGTGTTTTCCTAATGGTGTTACCCGTCTATATACCAGAAGATAGACTAGGGTGTTTTCCTAATGGTGTTGATACCCTTTGCCATAGTTAGAGTCCACAGAATGACGCTGATAAACTAAAACAAGTTAATTAAAAAGTCTAGTGACATTTAAACGCAATTTCCTTATGTTATCTAAAAATAGCTCTATCGTAGCGTAAATCAAGAGCAGGGTTAGTAAAACCATTGGTTAGTTATTAAAACGTTTTTTATTAATTTTTTTTTCAGTATTTTACATGTTTTATTTACAATAGAGTTACATGACTAAAAACCATTGCGCGCCTACTGAACGTGATGACGCAGCCATTGAACGTGATGGCGCAGCTATTGAACGTGATGACGCGTGTGGTGTGGTTGGATAAATATGCCTACTAATTCGGTCCAAATTTTAATTAATTCAAAAAAAAATTTTGTGACCGAACGAAAGGATATTTTTGAAAACTTTCTTCGGCAATATTGTTCTAAATTATGGCAGGAATCGATTGGTACATGTTTCAAGTCGCTAAGTGGTCTGGTTGCCGAGATATGGGCCAAAAACTGTTTTTTTTTTGAGGTTTTTTGGCTTTTCTAGGAAATCCATGAAAGAAACCCATAATTTCTATGGCCTATGTTCATCCTCGTAACTTTCTTAACATAATTGCTTTTGGAACTAGTCATCGATATTGCTTCGTTGAGGAGGAGACACGACTTAAAGCTGCGGACACACATCCATCCATTCATACATCCAGAAATGACGGGTTAATAAACGCAATTCTCCAGAATGGAAATTGCGCTAAAAAAATGGCGAGTCTAGATCGTGAACAACCAACTCCGTCATGTCAGTAGTTTGTGTCAAGGCTTTTGCTTTAAAATATAAAGATCCAAGGTCACCACAACAAGACGTTAACCCAAGGTCACCATAACAAGACGTTAACCCAAGGCCACCATAACAAGACGTTAACCCAAGGTCACCATAACAAAACGGTAACCCAAGGTCACCATAACAAGACGTTAACCCAAGGTCACCATAACAAAACGGTAACCCAAGGTCACCATAACAAAACGGTAACCCAAGGTCACCATAGCAAGACGTTAACCCAAGGTCACCATAACAAAACGGTAACCCAAGGTCACCATAACAAGACGTTAACCCCAGGTCACTACACTAAAGACGTTAAACCCAAGGTCACCACACCAAAGACGTAAAACCCAAGGTCACCACACCAAGACCAGCAGTCGTAAGGCCCAGACAAATTGAGTCAAACACGACAGATCATCACGTACGTCACCAAAACGTGCCCAAACATGACGTACGTCATCAAAACGTGCCCAACCATCACGTACGTGACCAACGCTCCAAGCGTGAACAACTATTGACTTGTGTTGGTCATCAGGAGCTCCCTGACCACAGGGGAAGTTGTGGTCAAGGCATGACGTCATCAACCGAGGAAAAAACTGGCAACTGTCAACAATAACCGCACATTCACAGGTGATCAACAGATGGTGATACAGGTGGTGACTAGATGGTGACGCAAGCAATCACCACAAGGTGACACACGCCATCACCACATACTGACACGGGTATTCAACACATGCTCATACATACGATGATTGGGGAAACGATTCCAAATAATTGCCCAAACAATTTCCCAAACAATTGCCTAAACTATTGCCCAAACAATTGCCCAAACAATTGCCCAAACAACTGCCCAAACAATTGCACAAGCAATTGCCCAAACAATTGCCAAACAATTGCACAAACAATTGCCCAAACATAGTATAAATGAAAACAAAGTGGTTTCTAAAGAATCATCCATGGTACTGATGACTTATGGCACGGCGTGGCCTAAGCAGTAGCGCGCTGTGCTGCTAACCGAAAAGTCTTGAATCCGGGTCCAAGTCAGACGAACGTCCCCATGTCCAACCAGTTCCGATAGGTACTTAACTCTTCGGGAAAGTAAAGGCTGCATACCACACCTTCCCTTCAAATGCCAAGGTCAAAAAACATATGAACTCTACTTCATCTGCCCAATGGATCGCAAGGTCTAAAGAGGATTCCTTACATTTTATTTTATAATGAATTAAATTATCCCACAGAGTACTTACCACTTAAATTATCACCCATAGTACTGATGACTTAAATTATCACCCATAATACTGATGACTTAAATTATCACCCATAGTACTGATGACTTAAATTATCACCCATAGTACTGATGACTTAAATTATCACCCATAATACTGATGACTTAAATTATTACCCATAGTACTGATGACTTAAATTATCACCCATAATACTGATGACTTAAATTATCACCCATAGTACTGATGACTTAAATTATCACCCATAATACTGATGACTTAAATTATTACCCATAGTACTGATGACTTAAATTATCACCCATAATACTGATGACTTAAATTATTACCCATAGTACTGATGACTTAATTTATCAATCAATAGCCCGCCAATATTTTGTAATTTTTCTGTGTGAAAGGAAAGTAGTTTTTGTCAACATTCAATCATACAGAATAACTCTAGTTCAAAAATCAATCCTACAACACTTACAAAAGTTACTAGAGAGAATGTCTATTCTAATGGAAGAAATGCCAATAAACAAACGTACATTACCATCTTCAGTGTTCAAACATAAATCACGTGATCTTGACAGCTTTAATTAACTGCATTAATTAAACAACACATTAAGCGTAATGAATCCACCTTACACTGTAATGTAACGACTCAGGATATGATGGCCAAACAACCTCTGACCCTTCAACTTGTTTATTTCCTCTCGACACGACGGTTGTATGCACTGACCTTGAACTTCCAACTGCGAGACGTTAGGGGCAGGAAAACGATTTTTCTCGTATCGATTATGAGCTGAAGCGTCTTAACGACAAGCGGGCTGTGAGATGCGCCCCTCACCCCCCCCCCCCTAACCCCCCCCCCCCCCATGCTTATGATGGCCATAAACCAATTTTCTTACTGTGGCTACATGTCTCGGCAGAGTTCACCGGAACTTGTTGTGGGGTCAAAGGTCATCGTTCCTAATGGTATTTTTATGCTCGGACTAAGTTTGTTGACCCAAGCTCGTAAGGATAATGGTCATTTTTTTGTCATTTTTTGGTCATTTTGTTTTTGTCATTTGTGGGGCAGGGAGGGGGGATCAAAATGGGGGAGGGGGGATTGCTAATATTAGCCCAGAATTAATATATTGTAGTTGGTGATCTTTTTAAATCTTGCAACATCCTCCTTCATTCTGATGTTATCTTAGATCTTGTTTGGTGATTGCCTGTGGAAGATGATTGATGTTGTCTATAAATTAAAGATGTTTGGCTGCAGGCAGTGATGTTGACTGCAGGCAGTGATGTTGTCTTTAGACCAAACATGTTAGCCTGTAGACAACGAATCCTTCTTGTGGTGTGTACCTCCCAAGATTTACGACGGCCTCTATGGTCGAGGGCTCTAAAGAATGTCTTGTATGGGCACGTCCCGGGCTAATCATCTCATTGACATTGCCCTACAATCGTGTTTAACACTCGTAAATCTTGGAGGGGGGGTCATAGGTCAAACAATGGTGTCATGTGGTTCACAGACAAGTCTCACATACTGTTCTTGTACACACCCGACATTTGCACATACTGTTCTTGTACACACATTACATGTACACATACTGTTGTTGTACACACCCGACATGTACACATACTGTTCTTGTACACATCTGACAATATACGTCGACCATTTGGGACATTCGCTACAGCCGAGAAAAATCATAAACCAGAAAAAAAAATTGTAGACAATTCTGCCAATCGTCTGCCGGCTATTTCCGGTCTGGGCACCTCGTCCCCACCCCGAGTCACGATCGATACAAATTATGTTCGGGGGGGGGGGGGGGAGGGGGGGGGTTGTACAATGTGGG